TTCATACTAGTCTAAATGAGGATTGTGAAATTGCGTTTGACCAATTCTAAAGCAACTTGATTTGAAAATTACTAAATTCCCCATTACCCTGAAATATTAATATAAAATATCTGAAAGTTCTTCCATGTCACCTAGGTAACATCTCTGACCCTACCAAACTCACAGCAGGGAATAAAAGACAGCTCTGTACTAGGAATCAGAAGACTAGAACTCTAATCCTGGCTCTGCCAAGAGAGGGGGGGAAATCACAAATCCATGATTTATCCTTCATCTTCTGAGAAATCAAAATAATTTCAATCTGACCCCTTGCGTAGCTCTTCCAGAGAACCTAAGCTGTACTTCTGCTAACAAATGATGCCAGCTGGATGAGGTGTAGATATACATTAACTCAAAGACACTATACCGCCATATACTTTATGTATATCTTTAAGTTATGTTTTTGACTTATCTATTTTTTTAAATTTACCTTCTCTTTTATTATGATTCCAAGATATATTTTAGAGAAATACCACTAATAGAGGCATTCTGGAGTAACCTAATTGAAAAGCTGAAGGGAACCCAACTACCCCTTGGTGACTGTTATCATCCACAAAGAAGCATTACCTCATGTTTCAGGAACAAAAGGAATCGGTCTTCCCGCTTCTAACAGGGCCTCATTGCGTAGTGCGCTCTTTCTCTCTCTGAGCAAAAACGTTTCTTCAGCAAAGTAAAAGTTTGGCTGGATGATCTCAAAGGCCCACCTAAGCTCTCATATTCTATGATCATATGCAACTCACCCCAGAACTGCCTCTGAATTTCTCACATCTGTTCTTCTAAAGGTACTTCTCTATAAACATATTTAAAATGATTAGAACTTTTAGTTCCAAATACTAAGCTAGTTTAATTGCATAGCTGTATAGTGGTACAGGCGTGTATTTTTAAAATTTTATTCAAAATTTGCTAAAGCAGTTACTCCCAAACACACTGCAGCCAGAAACACTATCACCCCTAAATTCCTCCTCTTGCTATGGGAGTTCCTGGGCATCAAGAGAGCCACATAGGTACTAAGTGCATGTGATTTCATCTGCCTATGCCCTTTGTACTCCATATACCCTGTGTAGCATTTGAACTAACATGTTCTTCACACAAGACATTCACTTTCAACATTCCTTGATTTTCTCATTACTGTTCTTCTCACACCTTAAACTCCATGCCTTTCACATGACTTAGGCAGCCAAGCAAACTCAAAGGCTCTCTGCTCTGCGCGGTCTTCCCTAACACTTCCCTAGGAAAGTATAAAGTGTAACATTGACATTCCTACTTTTGATTTTCCAACAATTTCAACATCTAGTGAGTCACATGAGAGCTTAAAGTAGCACACTGAAGCCCTTCTTTTGTGGGGTTTGAATTGTTTATGTGCTTGCTTCCTCTGTAGAAGTAAGGGTTACTCTAGAGCAAGGACATGTTGATACTAACTTCTATGTTTCTGACATCTGATCCATAATGGGATATCAATAAATGTTAGGTGAATGAATGAACATGTGAAATGAAGCCACATTTCCCAAGTAAAAATATGAATACATAAGTAAACAGAACTAAAGTTGGGAAATCTTAGAGTAGAAAATGCACCTTTGGAAAAAGGAGAAAAACACCCCATAAAATATAATTTCAAGTATTCAGACATTTTTCAAAGTTGTTATGTGAATAGAGCTCCTTTGGATCTCTAATGGTACAAACATTCCACATGCATTATGGTTTTCCCTAGATCCATTAGTCCAAGCAGGCTTACAAAGGTGATTCAGAGGTGGATTTGGGCATGCACACAACACATGCTTGGAAAATGAGAAATCATAGACCTACTAGCCTACTTTAAGTAGTCAGGCAATTCAACGGGTTTTGTAATTTGCTTTGGATCAAAAATGGAAACATCAAAGTTGGGTATTAACATTCTACATTTCTAGGACTTTTCAAGTACCTTTTAATTACAACACAACACAGTCGACTGCAGACATCATCTCCTTTTGGCACATATTTTTAATATTTTAGGTGTGTGATTATCATTCTCACAGCGTATAATTATGTTAACCAATAAATACTAACACATCTAATTCAGTTCCACCAGAGTGAAGATAATTCAGAAGAATGAGTTGTAGCTCCCAATTAACTCATGCTTTCCTAAATTAGACTAATAGAAAAGTTAGAAAGGATCACTCTCTCACTCTAAATGGAACAGGCTCATTGAGGTGTTTACCTTAATTCTCAACTTATTCTACTTAAAGATTATCATTATTAATTTTTTAAACCTTCCGAATTTTTTTCGTTTTATAAGAAAGCCTCAAAGGACACTGTTACTCATAGATTTTTTTGCCACTGATAGAAATATTTTAAAAATACTGATATCCTCAATCTGGTTCTGTTATAGGCAGTTAGACAGACATGAGTAGAGCAAGGACTATGGACCAGATACAGAAACTTACCAGGGCAGGAAGCCCCAGATGCCTAGCAAGGGCCAAAACTGGGAAAACGAGAACCTCGCCACCCCCAAGGTAACCTATCCTCCCCCAGCATATCTCTGGTCATGCGGTTTGGACTCCCTGACCTTTTCCTCCCTAAAGATAACATCTAGGCCTCAGTTGTATTTTAGCTCCAGAGGTCTCCTTATCTTGTCAGTAACAGTCCTAGAACTTAAAATCAAACATGGGTGTAAACTCAGGGTCCAACTGTGTTCACATTGTAGTTATATGTCCTAAGACAGGTCACTTATCTTCTAAATCTTAGCTTCCTCAACTCCAAATAAGCATATCTTTGATATCAGAGTTTCAGTCTTACTCAAGTGAGAATATATGTGAAAGTGCTTTACAGTCACAAATATCAGCGATTATGGGTTTGTGTGCACAGTGAGATTGTGCAAACAGAAATGGAGCTGCTAAATAAACCCAATAAAATGCAGTGGTTTATGGGAGGTGTGTGTAGACACAGCCTTAAAGAACGAAGTCTATGCTATGCAAAACCCTCTAAGCAGAAGCTCCCCGGTATATACTAAGGTATAAGAATTGAGGAGAAAAAAAGATTAAGCAAAAACCCTATTTTAAAAAGAGGAAGGGGTCATAGACAGGTGACTCCAGTGCCAAACTCAGTGGCCGTGCTGTCCTGAGAAACTGAGCATGAGGCATATGCTTGAGTGGAATAGGAAAAATGCTTATCATCAAACAATGGTCAGAAACTAGAGCATGGAAGGCTTGCTGGGGAATATCTCAGATCTGGGCCATCCTCCTGCATCTTTCCAGAACCCATCTTGTTTCCTATGTTCCTGTTTTGGAATTAAATTTAGCTTTCCCCTGCTTGAGAACCTTCCATTATTCCCCATTATCTATAAAAGACAAGCCAAAATCTTAATCTGGCATTCAAATTTGTCCCCAAGCTGTCAGTAGAAGACCTCGCAGTCCTATAGCTACTTCAAGCCTTCAGTGGCCTCATCCACAGCCACCTGGCAGCCTGGGCCTTTCCCCTCTATGGCTCAGGCTGTTCTCCATTACTGCTGCCATCATTACTATTCCCATCCCTCAATCTGAACACACAAGCCTTCTGATAACTCTCAGATTCTGCCACCTTAAAAAGTATTTATTACTCTCTTCCTTATATTTTTACAGTATCTGCCATAGTTTAACATTATGGGCCCCTGGAAAAAGACAAAGGGTCCTATTTATTTCCCATTCAACCATCCACTTTTCTTCTTCCCAAATTTCCCCCAAAAGACTACAGCACCTGCTACATACCTGCACTTCAGTATGTTCATAGAAACGAAGTGCATTTCCACTACCAACAGGTCTGGTGGGGCCAAGAGCGAAGTTAGCTAAGGAAGAGCTCAGCTCTGGCGTGTTTGACCTGTGCCCTCACACAGCTGACAGTCCCATTATATGTCTAGAAGAGGTAATGGGAATACGCCTAAAGCGGAAAGCACTGCCGCCTTATGTGCAGTTCAGTGTTGACGTGACTGACAGCCGAGAAGCAGGGCTGGTTTTTAATTCATGAAAGGAACCATCGTGAATACAGGAGCAGCCGTTCGAGAACTGGAGTGATACTCAGCATGCCGTATGCACTGTCACTGAGTCAAGCGAGCATCTAGCAAGAGTCAAACAAGGCAGTGACGACAGTGCCAGTCCAGGATTTGCATCTAGAGTTCTGCTGGCCATCTTCTGAGGACCCAGGAGCCCTGAAATCGATTTGCCATTACCGTCTCAAGACCTGAGAGAGACAGGGAGTGACCACTAGCCATAGAAGTTGAGTTTCTGAACACAGTCAACTACAATGTAGAAAATAGCCAAGCTCCAAAGTAAGTTTTGTGTGTGTGTGTGTTTTTTAAAGTATACAAAAACAGATAACATGGCACCATCTGCACTTAAAAAATGCAGATTAATGGTATCGCCAAATTCTGGTGAAACTGAGGAGAAACTGGTACAGTCAAACTGCCAATATAAGCTATTCACAACCTTTGGAAAGAAAAATAAAGTGGTCATGCTCCTCAATGTAGAAATCCCACTGTTAGGAATCTGACACAGGGAAATATGCATGAACATTTCCTTCATAGCATTACATACACAAACAAAAACTGGGAGCCACCTTACACATCCAACATAAGGAATTTCTTTACAAAAGATGTAGCATTCATGATACCTTTAACATAACCATCCTAAATTGTACTTGTAAGAACTATAAAAATGTGAACAAAATATCCACATACTCAAAGCCAGAAGAAGAGCAGGGCAATGGAATATGAAGTTATTTAATTTTCATAAACTTTTTGTATAATGTTGTAGTATTTTAAAGACAATACTAATAAAACTAATTTTAAAGTTTCTGTTAACAAACATATGTTGATATTAAATAAAAAGACAATTTAGACAGTTGACTCTGAGAAAATTAAAAAAAAATAGAAGGGCTATAAACAGCAGCTTGTACATTCAGATCATCATAGACTATTTATAACTGGACATGTGGAAACATTCCTGGACAGCTCTTACCTGTGGGAGCCGAGGTTTGTAGGGGGAGCTGCACTCAAGATCAGCCAAGATGCTAGTCAACGAGTCGATCTCGGCATCCAGGCTGGAGCGTCTCTCCTCAAGGGTCTTGCCTCCAGGATTTCCCTGCCAGAAGCAACATAGAGATGTTCAAAAGGAAATTTCCAGTTTCCATTGATATCAGTCTGAGCTCAGATTTCTCAAGTTATAGTGTGGCTTTGTCCAAAATTTTCTGCATTTTTTCCCCTCTTAGAACATCTTAGTGAGGTAGTCTGAAGTAGAATTATCCCATTTTGACAAATAAGAAAAACTGAGAGGTATCAGGTGATTTTTTTCTAAGGTTGCACACTTATTTTTTGATGAGCACAAAAGTAAAAGTCAGTAAATGTTTCCATCCTGTACTCAAGGAGCATATCCAACTGGGAAGATATTACAAGTTCTTTGTGTTCAGAAACCACTACTTAAAGTGATGACATTTTATTTGGAACAGGAAGGGCAAGGGTGGGAGACTTACAGTCTAGGAAGAGGAATCTGTGAGGAATCAATGTCTATGTGACAGAAATGGGAAGTCCCAAGCAATGAGTCTGAAAAATGAACTAGAATAAGACAGCTCGGGATTCTGGCCAAGGGCTGCAGAGGGAGCATGTGACAGTGGCTACTGATTCTGAGCTGGAGCTTTATGGATTTCATAAGTCAATGTCCCATGTTATCAGAAGCATCAATTTCTACCTGCACTCAGAATTGATCAGAGGTGAGAAGACAGTAACGCTACCACAAGGGCATCCCCAGGCATTGTGAGAAGGTTTGGACAGTCAGTTTGCCTAGAGCTTAAAACAAGAAAATATAAAGTGAGGTGGCCCTTTTACAAAGCAATTGTGATCATGGATTTTAATGACGGTGTTTCTTGACTCCATCAAGAAACCAAAATGCATCAGCAGCAAGACCCAATAGAAATAAAACAATGGGAAGTTAGTGTAAACTTATCAACCCTATTGAACTTGTCTAAGGCAGTTAAATATTAGGATAGTGTCTTTAAAAGGTTAGAGAAAGTATTAGACAAGAAGCCAGAATATCCTCAGCAACAAAAAATAGGATACCCTGACGAGTTAACGTTAAACCTTACAATTCTCTAAGTAAATTTATCTTTCCAGTAAATATGCTGTACCAGGCAATGATAACATGATCGAATTGTACATTAAAACCCCTAGTTTCTTCCTCCCAGTAGCCTGCTCACCAAACCACCTTCCCTGAGACCTAGAACTTATTTAAGTCTCTGCATCATATAGCCCTAAGGGGATCTGGTACATCAGTCCCTTGTGGATTTAGCCAGCATGAGTTCATTCTTATGGACTTGAGCTAACCAGGCACACTGATAACACCAAAGCCTATGAAGCTGTAGTCCAGGTCCCTTGGAGCCAAGCTGATGATTGCTGCCTGCCCCAGGGGCAGTGGGCATCCCTTTCTGAGCCCTCTTTAACTATGGGTATCTTTTATCACATTATTGAAAGCAGCCTTCTCATCATTTTCTCCTTCTGCATGTATTTGCATGATCTCTCTATGGGACTCTTTCCCTACACCTGTTTTCTCTCTCTCATAATATCTATCACAATCTAGCATCACTTTTTACGTATATTTGTCTATCATCAGTCTCCCCCAGGAGAATGTAAGCTTTGTGAGGTAAGGACTGTGTCTGTTCTCCTCACTGATTCCCCAGAATCTTGCTGAGGGCCTGATCCATAGAAATGTTCAATAAATATGTTTAAATAAATAAATGAGTGGATAATGATAGGTGCTGCTGTAGGTCCAGTCAGTAACCCTTTTCATATCAATACATTTTGGGTAAAAACAGCTAATGGTACAATAAGAGCAGCAGATGTTCTAGGAGAGAGCGAATATATTAGGTTATAGAAAAGGAACCAAAAGGTTCAGTGTGCATGTGTGCACACATCTGTGTCTGTGTCTGTCACACTGTGTAGCCCAGATCTGAAGGTTGCCCTTGCGAAAAATGAGAGATTTTCCTCAGCTCTGTTGCCACAGCCAAAACTGAAAAGAAAAAAATTAAATAAAATAAGTGAAGTGACAAGTTGATTATGTTTTCCCAGAGCCTAAATTCTCAGTTTTAACTAACCTTATAAGGCCAGTGGGTCTTTGCCTTAGAAACAGGTGTTTTAAAAGTGCTAATCCCTCTCTCAGAAGCAATCTCATCTTTATCCTACTGAGTATTAATGACCAGGAAATACTGTGATGTTATTAAGAAAACCTCTTACACGTTTAGACTCTTTGAATATTCTGACACTGGGTCCTGGTACAAAAAGGAAAGGGGGGGCATTATTGCTATGGAAGGCAGCTGAGAAATGTGCGAACTGCTTCTTAACATGCAGATATAAAACATTCTAATAAATACTAATCTGATACATGCATTTCCATATACTCATAGGTAGCACAATATGCTGGTAAGGACAGTGGATGGCAGTCCGATTAAATTCTTTCCTGAGCCATAGTTTCCTCATCTATGAAACAAGGATAGTATCACCTGACATACCTAAGACAGAGGGATATTAAAATATTCAGATAAGAAAATGGATGGGAAAATACTTTGTAAATTATAAAGTGCTATAATTATGATAATTTTCATAAATAACATTAATTATAGCAACCAGTAACTATAAATTAATATGAATAATAAAGCTATTGTTAATTATTCTTCTTCTTAAAGGGAGCATCATTCATTAAGTGTTCCCTGGGGGTATCAGTAAAGAGACAGGATTTAATAAGGTCTACGACATCTGTACTCTAGCAGAAAGTACATCAACTGCCCATGCCCAAGTCACTGGGATGTCTAACCACAGAGACTCAGAGTCACAGAATTACCCTGAGCTATACAATGAAGCAAGTAATTATAGTGTGCAACTAGCCTGTGCACGCAAGACTTCAATTGGTATTCAGCCTCTTCATTCTCCCATCCCTCTGAGTCGGGACTACTCCCCATTTTTAGTTTCTCATGTTAGGTTGATACAATTTAATAAATTCTAGCCTAATGCTGTGGGATTTTGTAGCAAGAATCCCTTGTTGTTTTACTTGACCTTCTGATAAGAGCTTTGCTCCTACATTTATTTGAATCCCCATTATGGATTAGAAGAGGCCTCCTTAACACTATGCAGTCTCTATTTTATGTCTCAGTTCAAATAACTGAAGTCCTCCCAAGCCCCACCAACAACCTTTTTCCAAAATGCTCATTTGCTCTCTCAGCACCTCTAGATCCAAGGACTACCTTGCTATTTTCAACACTTTATACTAGATACCAGAGGCTACAGTCCTATAATCAGCTAATAGAATCCTACCCACATACCATGTGTCTTCTCCTTAACTCTTCATCACTGTAGCTTCAGCAACCCCCTGATGGCTAAACTGCCTGCCAGAGGCCAAATAACAAGAAGGAAGGTTCTGCTGATTCTTTGCCTAATGCTTTTTCTGAAATAACAAGTCTCATATTCTTCAACCGTAACTAGAGAGATGCCACTGTCTTGGTCCAGGTTCTACCAAAAATCAAGGCCTAATATAAAGAGTTGCACGCCAGTCCCAAGAAGCATTACTGAAGGACTAGAAGAGTTAGACAGGTAAAGAAGGAAAGCCAACTCAAAGGTGTGGTATTGAGCCAGTCAGCAACATAGGTAAGTAGGTCTCCATTCTCCTGAAAGCCTTCTGAGAAGTCCTGTGAAATGTGCTTCAGATCTTCTCACCAAGGGGAGAAAGATCATTCCCAGGCTCCAGTTCTCCATGGGCATGTGCCACCTGTGGGGTTATAAATTCCCTCATACTTGTCCCAAGAAGTAGAGTGGTGGCCGAGAAGCCCCTGGACAGAAAGCAAGAGAAAGGTATTGCAGCTGAGGCAGGGGGCCGCCAGGTCATACCTATGCAGAGGTGGTTGCTGTAGCAGTGGCCGGTGCATGAAGGTTGGATGAGAGGATTAGAGTCACAAAAGCGTCCTTTTACTAACAGCTAGCACACTCATGTGAATAAGTTATTCATAATATATTTTCTAGAAGATAATTATTTTCATTCACTCAATAGCCATGTATATGATGAAAGCTCACTAAACCACAACTGGGGCTTCTTATAACTTGGAAAGTTAAAATTCTTAGTGCCATTAGTAGAAGTACAGGGTGATGACACCCCCACTGTAAGTTCAAAGGGACAAACTTTAAATCAGAGTGCAGAACCAAATATATAGCCTGTGAGGCCATTTCTAAGAGTCTGTCATGCTTAGCCCAGATATTGCAAACCCAGTAACTATAGATGACAGTCAAGAACAAGTAGTGATTTATGGCAGAGTATTCATTTGTATGTATCTGCTTATTCATGTTTTATATCCAAATATCTTGTTTAAAAAGAAATTTAACTCACAGAAAAGTTGAACGGGTAATAAAATGAACTCCACCCACAAACCCTGTACCCAGATTCATCAATGGCCAACATTTCTCTCTATCCCCCCCCCTTCCTCCCTCCCTTTCTCACTCTTTCCCTCTTAAATAACAAACAGAAGATAGGTGACCACTCAGAGGAGCAGAGGAGTTTATTCATTTATTAATTTTTAAGGCTATGGGCAAATTCTACAGCTCATATATAAAAGATTCATTGAATGTGGTAAGGTTAAAAACTTAGAAATAACTACTCTTCTATTAAAAATAATAATAACACACCAAAAAAACCCCAGCAAGTAGATTCAAGTTAAACAGCAAGAGAGAATTCTAAGATCTTTTCCAACCTGACTCAGATGCAAAAGACCAGAAATGTGACAAAAAGCAGGGTAGGGGAAGTTAGGTGTTTAATAGCAAAATCTACCTTTTATCAATATATTTAAAACATACATTCTGTTTCTTGAAGCACTTAACGCATTTGAAACAAGTTACAGAAACTTTCCTTCCATATACTTCAGCTTCCATCTCCTAAGAACACCTAATGTTTTGATATCATTCTCACATCCACAAAATTTAACATGGTGCAGCATTATCTAATAAGCACACATGCTCATATTTCACTAGCAGTCTCAGTAATGTCCTTTTAGCTATTGTTTTTAATTCTGATCCAGAATCCAATCAAAGATCACACTTGAAGATGTCATGTAT